CTCAACTGACTTTGAGCTTTATTGCAAAGATAATAAGATTATTACACTTTGCATGCCTGCGCATTCATCCCATATCCTCCAGCCTCTTGATGTTGGATACTTTAGTCCCTTGAAGATTGCTTATGGTAAGCATATTGAAGGGCTTATGCGGGCGCGTGTCACCCATATCACTAAAGAAGATTTCTTTCCTGCATTTTACACCGCATACCAAGCCACCATGACAGAAAAAAATATCAAAGGTGGCTTTCAAGGGGCTGGCCTTATCCCTTTCAACCCTGAAAGGGTAATATCTAAGCTTGATGTCCAATTCAAAACGCCAACACCGTCGAATTCGCGGCCGACTAGTTCCCATAGCTGGGTTTCTAAAACACCAAATAACCCAATTGAGGCGTCATCCCAGACAAACCTTATCAAAAACCGAATCTCTCGTCACCAAGATAGCTCTCCATCATCAATTCTGAATGCTGTTGACATCCTCGCGAAAGGCACAACGAAGATAATGCATAAGATGGATTTGATGGAAGCAGAGATTCATGAACTTCAGGCGGCAAATGAGGCCCTTAGCAAACACCGGAGGGCTAAAAAAACACATCTAAGGAAAGGAGGGTCACTTTCTATACAGGAAGCTCAAGAATTAGGGGATCAAATGGAGGTTGAGGTACAACTGAAGGAGGAAACATGCAATGGGGCTGGTCAGCAACTGCGGACCGAGACACGCGCACGGCGCTGTGGCAATTGCGGAAAAGCTGGACACAATGCACGTTCCTGTCAGATAGTAGTAGAGATGTCTGAGGAAGGCGATTCTGGGTAATTTTAATGGAATTTATGTGCGTTGGTGGAAATATTGGGGTTAAAGTCGCGGCGGAGCGATTTCGTGTGACATTCGCCCGTGTGTGACATTCGCATGTGGGTCACGTTAATTATTTTTGGCCTCAAGTCAAAAGTAGTATGATTCCTCGCATTCCTTCACGCCGGACACCAACCGCTTGCATCCACTGGTCCCCGTTCCAATGTGTTTTCTGACGCTATGTACACTTGACTTAGGACTAGGAGAGATACCTACGGGTCTGCCTTACTGGTTGCACAAAAGAAGGGAAGCAAATACGCCTGATACACGAGTTCCAAGTCATATAAAGCGCCTCCTGCTTCTCAACGAGTAGAATCTTTATTGCACGATCATCTACATCAAATTGTATTTTCTCATCATTGAAATATACCCCCAAAACAAGTCATGCGACTCAACTTCAACAAAGGCCCCAGTGTAGGGATCTTGGGCCTCTTCCTAGCCCTAATCGCCTTCCTAGTCAGCCAGTCCACTGCCCTCCCAACCCCCAACTCCCTCGAAATACAGACCCTCGACACAATTGAAACATCAACGCAATACCTCCACGATCTCGGAAAGCGGTTCGCCGGCCGTGCATCTGGCAAGGTTGGCACTGCAGGACCTGACACAACCGACTACCCTAGTGACTCTGAGATCGGAGAAGCCTGCAATCCCGAAGCAGGCAAAGCGTTCATATTCTACTCAAACGCAGACTCCAACTTGGCGCACCAATTTGCCCAGGCGAACAACGGACTCATTGTCCGCCAGACCTTCCCCAAGGGCTACGTGGGCAAAAAACCCAATCGTGGAAAGAAACGGTCCGATGAGTGGTACCAGGACTTCTGTGATCGATTCTCCGGTGTTTTTGCCGATAAGGCTAAGGGAACGGTTTATCTGGTGACGGATTTGGATGCCGGGACTAGGGATTGTAGTGTCTGGGAACGGATTGAGAAGCCGACACTACTGGCGAACACGGCCGTCACTGACATCGTGGCTGTTTCTTCTGCGGACTTCAGTAAGCGGAATACGATTTGGTCGCGGACTGGGAAGCGCGACAATGCGGGACTGGCGTTGCGAGCCTTGAAGAAACAGACAAGTGGGAAGAAGTCTTGCTTCAATTGGGAAGGATGTGGGGAGGATCCTAACGATTCGGATGGTGATGGTGGAGAAGAGTGCTGTGAGTAGTTTGGTTCCGCGAGATATTTGTGTCTGTTCTGTTTAGGGTTTCTGTTGTTGGTGTGTGGAGGAGCGATTTGTATTTATAGATATTTTTAGAGCAATTGTGACGAGAATTTGAGTTTTTTTGATTATCTTCTTCTGTAGATGGATGAAGATGTGCATCAGACTGATGCTCAGAGGGCACAACGAAGATAACTGAGCTGGTTATGTTTCATCCTGGATATTATTTTTTTATCGAAATGGTTAATAAAATGAGTTGGTCCTACCGTGTTATGAATATATCCAAGTCATATTGGGGTCTATAACTATACAGACGCAAATCAAATAAAAACACTCATTATTCATTTTGATGCTCATAATTTCAACGATAGACCCCCAGGGAACCGACAATGGGCAGAAAGCAGCAACCGAGGACCATGGTCTCTGGGACAGCATCTAGCTCGACAACTAGCCAATACCCTACCAGCAGACCCATCCGAGGGTTTTGAAAGCACGACACAAACAGCCAATAGCCAGTTCCCAGGGAGAATAGAGGTGCTACCAGGTCCAGAGGCCCTAGCAGCGGCACAAACTTTCTCTCCAGGACTAGTAATCTGGTCAGACGGATCAAGATTGGAGAACGGCAGGTGCGGAGCAGGACTTG